GACTGAAGCGGGATCAGAGTGAATGTTTTTGGTGTCTTTCTCCCTGACACGTACATGACTGATTTCTAAGTAAGGCTGTGCCATCTTTTGGTGCTTGTCTTACATGACAAACTCATTTGTCTCCAGCAGCTGGGAAGTGGCGCTCTGAGGAGACGAGCTGCTTTTCCAGGCACTTGGCTTGAGGAGGATTGTGTATTGTTTACTGACCCCCAGGCCGGATCCTGGAGCCGTGGAGGTGGACCCTTGCAGGCAGAGAGGGTCCAGAGATCCCAGGATCCACATGTTTCTGTGTGGGAAGAGGAACACAACTTATGCTTGTGGTGTGGAGCCCAAGTGGAAAAGATGTTAGTGGAGTCAGTGTGGCTATGCAGAGCTTGATGCTTCCGTTGAAATGTGGGTTATGGGCTAGAGCAATAGCACAGTGGGTAGGGAATTTTCTTTGCACGCGGCCGACCCGGGTTTGATTCCCAGCATCCCATATGGTCCCCTGAGCACCACCAGGAGTGATTCCTGAGTGCAGAGCCAGGAGTAACCCCTGAGCATTGCTGGGTGTGACTCATAAAAAGCAAAAGAATAAAAAGAAATGTAGCTTAGACAGAGTTTCCTGAAAGGAAGAGGAAGGAGGGTGGGTAGTGGCGATGATCCGGTGCTGGGGAGCTTTGCTGGTGATACATTTCACTGCTGAATTGTTAGAGAGCAGGTAAGCAGGAGAGCCAGAAGCCTCTCTGAACTCCAAGTCCAACCTGATTTGGACTTAGCCCATGGCCCTGCCATGTGCTTGGGTTAACTGGGATGGGATACATTTAAACAAAAGGATGATAAAACATGTCTGGTGAGCAGTAAACAAGGAGAACAGGACCCAGCCTCACAAGCACACTCTGCTCATCTGGGTGTCCCTGACCCAGAGATGCCCTTCAGGACCTAGTCTCACCCACCACAGTTGGCTGTCATGAAGGCTGGAAAGTTTTTGAGCTTCTCTCAAAAACTGGTGGTCTGGCTGAGGGCAAAAGAGGGGATTCAAAACAGTGCTGTGGGAATGGTGGGGGTGGAGGGGCCTGAGGGGCAAACTTGTTAGGTGGGATGGTGGTGGGAGGAAATGTGGTTCCTACTTTGGCCCAGAACCCATGGGTGAGGCTGGTTTGGGAAAGGCTCCCTCTCTCTGGGTCTGAGAGGTTGATCCAGACCTGTGATTTGTAGGAGAAAAAGCAGCCAGTGTCCCCTTCTGGTTCTTCCCTTTCCCTTTCCCTTTCCCTTCCCTTCCCTCTCCTCCTCCCCATCTTCCTCCCTTCCCTCCCTCCCTCCCTCCCTCCCTCCCTCCCTTCCTTCCTTCCTTCCTTCTTTCCTTCCTTCCTTCTTTCCTCTGCTCCTCCCTCCCTTCTTCCTTCGCTCTCCCATCCCTCTCTCCCTTCCTTATTTTTCCTTCTTTTAATTGATACATAGATTTTATTCATTCATTCATTTCTTCTGATTTTTATTTTTTCTGATTTTTTTTTTTAAATCACATCCAGTGGTGTTCAGGGACTATCTCTGGCTCTGGGCAGTTGGCGGGGATCAGGGAGAATGTGTAGATCCAGAGTGCCTATAAGAGCCTTAAGCCCTATCTTATCTCTCTGGTCCTTATAATACTTTTAGTTTGTGGGCCACACCTGTTGTTGTCCGGACTATACCCGGCCCTGTTTTTTCTCAAGTCTGGGGGTTCACTCCTGGCAGTGCTGGGGAGACCAGGCCAGCCAAGGACCAAACCTGGCCTCTAGAATGCAAAGCCTGTGTAGTTTCTTACTGCAACTTGGACCTCCAGCCCGGGAAATAGAAATTATATCGACAGAGGAAGGGTCCTGAGTGTCCCTGGCCTGAGGTGACTTTGGAAACCGTTTTTTTGTGCATGTCAGTCTCCTGTCCCAGAGCTGTCAGCTTACGCGTGGCCTGTGCTCCTGAGTGCACGCCTGGAGAGGTCTCGGCTTGGACAACCTGAGGTTGCACTATGACCCGCATCTGCTTGGAAAAAAAAAAAAAGAAAGAAAAAAAAGAAACACTTTTTCCAAGCACCTGTCTTTTCACCTTTTCATCTTCAAGGGGATAAGAAGGCTGATGCCCATGGTACCGTCATGTCATGAAGACCAGCAGAGCCAGCACTGAGGCACGGAGGTGCCCAGCGCCAGAGGCCTCGGACCAGGTTGGTGGGTGGGCACAATCTCCTCGGCTTCTCACAGAGACATTCATCTCCTTCCTCCCTGGGGTTCTCTGGGCTGTGAGGTGGCTCCTGCCCTCTTGGATGCGTTTGTGGGAAGGAGGGTCCAGAGCAGGAGATTCAGTGCCGTGGCTGTCAGCTTCCCAGCAGGGGAGCCCTCCTACCCAGCTGCTGCCAGGCTTCTCTGCCAACTGCTGGGATGTGGGGTGAGATGGAGCCGGGAGAATGTCTCAGACTCCTACCTGGGAGGGTAGAAGAGGGACGGGAGAAGAAGCGGTTGTTCTGCCGGGTGCCCTGGGCTTCTCTTGCGGCTCCCTAAGCTGTGGCACTTCTGAAAGACTGAGTCCTTTTCCTCAGAGTCCTGATGATAAACAATATCTTCCCTACAGGGCATTGGGGGTGGGGGGGGATTGAAAGTCCTGACTACAAAGGCCCTGGCATCATGCCCAGCAAGCACTAAGTAAGTGCTTAGTAAAATCAGTGCTTCCTCAAGGGCTGTGAAGTTCCCAGTGGAAAGGGGATTGTAAGATCAAGTGTCCTTGGGCAATCCTGGGGTCTAGCTCCTGAACCTGCTCCGTTCTTTTTCCTGTGCAAAGCACATGTCCTACAGGGGCTTCAGTCTTGAATTAAGTCCCATGGATGCAAATGAGTGTTATAACTAGTTGGCAGGGCTCATGTCTTACAATCTCATGTTAAAAATGAGAAAACATTACCAATCCATCCAATGTCCTCCTGGATGGAGGGTGTAACCCAGGTTTTGGGGACACAGGAGGCAAGATCAGACAGCTGAGATGGCAACGGGAGTCAAGACAGAGCCCAGGTGTTTGCTGGGCACGCTGCTATCCTGTTAGGTCGGCTCCAGTCTCAGACCAACAAAGAAGCACGTTCACCCCGCAACTTAACTCTGGGACGATGCTTCACCCCTGAGTCCTACCCAGGAGGAGGTCAGAGCTGGTATTTTGTGGTGGAGTGGATATTGGGAGGGGTTCTCATTTTGCAATGACAAGTTAATCTTCATGGCTTTCTCATAACATTTGTTCTCTACTCCTCTCCATGTTACAGATGCATTTTGTTCAAGCTAGTGAGTAGCAGAGCTGAGAATCACTGTCCCCAGCTTGTCTGCTCCTGGGACTATCCACTCCCTGCCTGTGGCTTTGACCAAAGAGAGACAGGAAGAGATTCTACTGGGTCTCTAAAATGTGACCTCCTCCTCCAGGAGCCTGATATGGAGGGCTGAGCAGGGACCAGGGTCTTTACAGTGACCCCATGGGGTGCTGAGGGCTGGGAAACTGATGCTTGCTTGCTCCTCCCCAGGGTGACACACAGTAGAACTGCCTCAGTGCATCAAGCCTTCAGGAAGGAAGATTCCAGGTCTGAGCAAGGGCCGGTCACTGGCTACTTCCACAGACTCTGGGCCCTTCCACAGCTACCCCAATGCACCTCAGGACCCTTTCTCACCAACACAACACCGGATCTACTGGTGAGATGCTGCTGGCTGGAGGAAAACAGGCTGCCAGTTCTCTGGGAAGGAAGGCTGACTTCTAGGGGGAAACCTGCAATAACTTGAGGTGGGGGTGGTGGGCACTGTTGAACAAGCAAGCCGTTAAGCTGAGCAAGTCCTGGGAAGACTGTCCAGCCAAAGTGACATTGAGGCCAGGACAGGACCCGGGGGCTTGGCTCGAAAAGGCAGGGAGAGTGGGAATCCGTGGATCTCGGAGGACCACCACCACAGCAAATCCAAAGAGGGCTGTCCAGGGGGAGCCTTGAGGCGTGTATTGGGGTGGGGGGGAAGAACAATAAAGGACACAGGCACTCAAGTGCCTTCAAGGGGCTGCCCTCTTGCTAGGGGTCAACCTGGGGTGCAGCTTCCTCAAGCTCTTCCAGCCAGGCTGAGGGGCAAAGAGAACGGCACCCGGGGTAAATGCGGAGGACAAAACGACGTCCCTGAAGGGCACAACAGGGTTTATGTAACTGCCCTCCAGCCAGGGGCTGTGGGAGCTGGACAGGCAGAGCCGGAGCCTTGGACCGCATGCAAGACCTCCCGCTTTGTGTCTTTGCAAATACAGGGAGTGGTGGCGGGGAGCAAAGAGACACCAGAGTTCGGAAAGCCCGGGGAGCTTGACAGAGCAGGACATTCCTATCATCTCCTGGTCTTTCTCCAGAGTCAGGCTTAGGCGGGACGGGGGCCTAGAACTGGAGGGGGGTCCCGACTCCCGCGCTGGGTGACCTTGGGTGAGCCGCTCGACCTCTCTGGACCGCAGTTTCCCAGGGTCTGGGGAACGGCGATGCAGTCATCCTAGAGCATCACCGTCCGGCCAAGGCTGAGGGGGTGGGGTGGGGTGGGGTGAGGTTTGGGGTGAGGTTTGGGGTGGGGGGAGACGGGGCGGGCGGGAGGCGCCCCCGGACGCCCGCGGGGTGCGCGGCTCGGGCGGGCGCGGGCGCAGCGCGCAGGCGCGGGGCGGGGCGCGGCGGCTCGGCGCGCGCGGGTCGGAGCGCGCGGCTCGAGGCTGAGCTGGGCCGGGCGGCGGCTGGCAGGGCTCGCAGGGACCGCCCGAGGCTCTCGGAGCGCGTCGCTCCGCGTCCCGCTCCGGCCAACGCGGGCGCGCGGGGCAAGAAGCGCCCCCGCACCCCGACGCGCACAGCCTAGGCGCTGGGGGGACTGCGCGGCCGGCTCCCGCCCGGGTGCCGCTGCCGCTGCCGCTGCCGCCGCCCGGCTGCCCGCCCGGCTTGGTTCCGCCGCGCCGCGACCGCGGACAGAGTCTGGGGAGGAGGTTGCGCGCCGCGGGGGCGCGCGCGCCACGGCTCCGGGGGTGCGGGGCCGCCGCTGCCCGGCCGCCTCGTCTCCAGGTCCCGGGCCCCGGCGGCCGGCGAGCATGGAGGAGAAGTACCTGCCGGAGCTGATGGCGGAGAAGGACTCCCTGGACCCCTCCTTCACGCACGCTCTGCGGCTGGTGAACCAAGGTGAGGGGCGCGCGCTGCCCGTTAACTGCCCCCCCCCATCACCCATCACCCCCCCCCACCCCGCCCCGGGGGCCGTTGGGGGCCCGGGGCGAGACGGGACCCGGTGTCAGTGCGGGAGCGCTCGTGGACCCGGGCTTTTGGGACTTGGCTGGAAACCGACCTGGGGGACCTGGGGCGGGGGGCGAGGGGCAAGGTAGGGTGGAGGGGGGGTACCCAGGGAACAGTCCCGCAGGGGTCGAGGGTTAGCCGGGCCAGGCGGCGGGGGTAGAAGGGACTCCTCGGGGTTGGGGATGGATGGGGGGTGTGGGAGAGGTGGGGGAAGCCCGAGGTGTGAGTCTGGGGGATGTGAAGGAAGGAGCGGCTGGATGCGCCTTGAAGGAAGCCTTGGGGGACTCGAGGATGCCCCGGGAAAACTTGGGGGTGAAGGCCCGCCAGCAGAGCATCATCATCGGGGACTTGGCTGGTGCCGGAGTGGGCAGGTTGGATGATGATCTCTGGGTTTGATGTGTTTCACGAACCCGGGATGGAAGGGGTGGAGGAAATTCAGTGCCAAGAAGGAGACAGGAACAGGTGCGTAGACGCTTGGGGAAGTTGGCGTTTCTGGGGGGAGTCAGGCCGGCGCCCGAGCATCTTAAAGAAGGTCCGGTGTGTGTGCAGGGGCAGCCTCTCATTCTCTCCGACACCCAGGCTCTGGCCGTGGGTGGTTCCCCCACCCCGGGGCTGGGCAACTCCTGCCAAGTCTTGGAGAGAGGGGATGATGTGGGGTAGAAGAGGCGACCCCCCCCCCCCAACCTCTTGGCTTGCCTGCTCTCTCGGGGGAGCACTGAGCGGGTGACCCTCATTGGTGGCCGGTTAGCTTGGGGTCCGGACCACTGGCCCGGGAGTCTGTGCTACCTGTGTCATTGTGGTTCCACTTTGGTCAGCGAGGAGTCTAAAGCGTCCTGGGAAGCCGGGGACCCTGGCACGGGGGTTTATGGAGGCGTGTCTGTCCCGAGGACACTATTCCCTGGCTTGTTCCTCCGCACACCTCCTGAGTAGTCTTCCAGGATGGACGGTAAATAAAGTCTCCTGTCTCCTGTCTCCACACCCATGCTCTGCTCCTCCCTTACATCCCATATGCATTTCAGATCAAGGGGTGCTTGGCGGGAGGGGGGGGCAGGGGGGAGGCAGTGGTCTCCTCTCTTGCTGGGTGAAGGTAGGAACAATCAGGTCCCATCTCTCAGCTTTTGCTTGAATTACTGACTGGGTTTCCCTGAGTCCGGTCGGGTCTGTTGATCTTCATAGCGTCTGTGGCTCATTCATTGTGGCAAATGAAAGATGAAACAAACATACTCCGTATGTAGCGAACTGGGTTGTGAAGTAGCAAGCTCCGGTATTTGTCTGTTACAAATTGCAATTTGCATCCGGTTCCAATCAGATGTGTGTGGTGCTGGTGCCGATGGAGAGACTCCCTGTTTCCAAGAATTTGAAGCATTGGTATTTGTCCAGAGAAAGGAAATCAGTTCATAGAGTGTTGTCTTTTTATTTTTATTTTGGGCTTCTTTTTATTTATTTTTTTTAATGCGAGTGTAGAAAAGTAATGCGTTTTTACAGACAAAGTTTTATTCTCCCTGCGCAGGCGAACCATCCTATACTTGGGTTGGCAGTCTTTGCTGTCTATGAGTTACACAGATCTTTTGTTGACTCCTGAGTCGTAATCCCCGAAAGGAATTTCTTTGTACACTGTGTGCAACCATTGGCATTAGAAATATTCTGAAATATGAAATCAAGTGCTTGTATTTCTTAAGTAGCTGAATCAAAGTTGTATTCAATGACTGATACATTGTAAAAATGTAATGAGTTATTTGTAAGTCAGAATTGTCAGAATTTGTGTGTGTTTGTGTGTCTGTCTTTGTGTCTGTCTGTCAGTGGGTCTAGTCTGCTTGCACTCGCCCTTTGTTGCTATAGTGTTATGTTGTACATTCTTTTGGTTTCTGTTTTTGCTAGGTTAATGGCTTCCAGTTTTTTGAAACAGATATTGGACAATGTTGCTGTTTTTCAGTTGTCAGATTTTAGACCTAATTACTTGGTCATCAGAATTGTAATTCCTGTAAGAAATACATTTTTCACATCCAGCAGTTATGGGAAGGAAGAAAGAGGTGCTACACAGATGCTTTGATTCCTATTAATTTAGATGATTTCAGACTGGAACATTTCCCCCTTAAATCTGAGGCTACAGTACAGAAGGCTAAGCTCTATCATTTAAAATATTCATTATTTTCTGTTATGTAACTCCCGATTTACAAGTACATTTTGAAAATAGTGTCTTGGATCTGAATGTGATTAAAAAGCTTTGATTATAAATCCGGTAACCATCCGGTCCTTGAAGCCTTTTTATTCCTATTTAGCCGTATTATTTGCCTCTGAAGGAAACTTTTTTTTCAGAGATTATTAGTCCATGTCCCACTGCTCGAACCAATATTCCAGCTCCAACTTGTTCAGTGTTGATGGCTCAGCAGCGTAAGCCTTTATTTAATTGTGGCGTGGTATGGAACAAATACTTGCTAACAAATGTTAACCACACCTGATGTTTACATCGTAGTTTAAAGTTTCCAAGACTCTCTAAGGCTCACAGTATCTCGTTCTATTATCAGACTTGCATTCTGGTGAGGCTGATATATATATCTCTGTTTTTCAGTGAGGGGACCTAGGGCATAAGCAAGTAAGCAGCTGGGGGGTTTAATTTGAGCTCAGGTCTCCCATTTCTGAAGATCACTATACTTGCTGTTACTATCTTTTCCCAGAAAAACAAACATAGTACAAGACAGTGTAAAGAAATGTTGCACACATGCTCATTTAAAAAAACTTAGTAAAGATCTATGGCATTAATATGCTTGCTTCCAGTTGATTGGATTTTCTAAGTATCTTTTTTCTCCTTGTATTTGTCTAGTGCTCATTTTTGAGTAACCAGCATTCTTGGGAAGTTTATTCTGTAGGGTTAGAATGTTCAGGCCAAGACTCTCTTTAGCATTAAAAGACCTTTCCATGACTAATGGCATTACTTTGATAATCAACACTTTACGGTAAGGAAACCACTTATGAATAAATAAGGTAATAGCCACAGAAATTAGTATTGTAAGCATTAATCAACTTCCTAGATGAATTACATATTTTTAAATAATCTTTAAGAACATCAGCTGGTATGTCATCTTTGTATTTGATTCTATGTTGCTCTCTCAGCTACCTTTTATCATTTGTCCAAATATTTATTTCATAGTGGTGGTCATTGATTGCTGATTTTTATTTTCCCAGGATAACTGGTTCTCCTCATCCTGTGAGTATTTAATACTTTTGTTTCTTCACCGAAAGCAATGTGTGCTGTTTACTTGATATTAAACCCCGATCACAGAAAATAGACCTCAGCATTCTTTACCAATTCATCTGCCCATCCCCCATGTAGGAACAGACAAGTGCCGTAGAGTGGATTGATACTGTGGTTTCTTGCCAACGAGGTTAATTGGAGATGAAAGTAGCATTGCATGTTTCATATTATATTTGCTGGTAGGGGATGTGCTGACTCTTACTAAAAAACACTTCAGAAATTTCTTGCACATTATGATTTAATCCCACTCTCTGGCATTGCTCTGGATGGTTTTCAGTCCATGCCAAGTAACCATTAAATAAGATTACATAACCCTATATTTTTAATTACGTGTTATAATATATGTATTGGTAGCTGGTTCTCTGCCAAGTTATATTTAGTTGCCAGTTATAAGAGGAAGTAGAGCAAAGGATTCAAGATTAAGGTGGGCTGTTTGAATCTAGATTAAGTGCTTTTACCAGTGTTGGCATGGATGTGGGGGAGAAGGGAACTCTCCTTCACTGCTGCTGGGAATGCCAGTTGGTTCAGCCTTTTTGGAAAACAATATGGATGTTTCCCAAAAAACTAGAAAAAATAGATAAAGTGCTTTTATTGGTATTTTAATGTACTTTTCATATAATATGATTTTCTCTATTACTAGTACTCTTGGTGTTTCAGGTCACATGTTTGGTCAAAAAGTGTAATGAGAGAGAAGCTCATTACTTAGCTCTGTATGCATTTCTTTTTTCAGCAAAACGTTAAAGTTTCATTAGGGGAGAGGGGAAATGCTGCTTTGGAAATTAGTTTTTATTTGCTTGAATGCTGTGAGCCCTGTAATGAGAGAAAAGAATGAGAGTTAACATTGCAGAACTAGTTTTAGCTGTGGTGTCTTCATGCAATTGTGTGTGTGTGTGTGTGTGTGTGTGTGTGTGTGTGTGTGTGTTTAATGCCAAGGAGGAATAAAATGGGGTAATTTCATTTGCAGTTGCTTTTCATAGGTTCAATATATGTTTTTGTGTTTTATATTTTCGACAAGCCACTTCACCATTTCTGGATTTCCTGGAGTGTATGTATGGTCCACAGTGATCTAGTCAGTGTGGCTTGCAGTATTCTGGCATCTGTACTTTGGTCATATGCTTACCGAGAACCCTCTCTGCCATGTGTTGTGTGTCTAAACCAGGTCCTGGCCAGTGTAGGCAGAGGGAAAATGGGTGCCCTCTCCTGAAAGCTGAGGCTGTCCTGTTTTTCATAGGAAGTGGGAATTTCTGGTTTGTAGAAGTACTCTCCTCCCCTAAGGAATGCTTTAGGAGTGCTTTAATTATTCCCTTGAAATATTTAGTCACAGTATGGTTTGAGCCAGAGCAATAGCATAGAGGGTAGGGTGTTTGCCTTGCCGATCGGGTTTGATTCTTCCGCCCCTCTTGGAGAACCTGGCAAGCTACTGAAAGTATCCCGCCCACTTGGCAAAGCCTGGCAAGCTACCTGTGACATGACGTATTCGATATGCCAAGAGCAGTAACAACAAGTCTCACAATGGAGATGTTACTAGTGCCCGCTAGAGCAAATCAGTGAACAACAGGAGGACAGTGCTACAGTAACAGTATAATTTAGATTTAAGTAAGCCATCTAATCTAAGTTTAGACGTCACAATATTTTTGAG